CAGAACAAATGCACACTTCTCTAATAGTAACTCGATAGAATGTGCCCAAGTTCTACAGGAATGAGACTTATTGATACCTATGGAGCCATACAGTATGAAGCACAGCGCAAGTTCTTTCAGGAAGACTGGGTATATATTCATTCCCCCCGCAGCTGTCGGCTCATCCCGGGTGTTCTCTTTAACCTATTGCATTTCACCTCAATCTCCAGCAGTGTTAGGGTCGTTAATAAAAAAAAAGAATGTATTACACATTACTCATTACTTTAAAAAAAAGTAATATATTACTTTATTTCTTTACTCTCTACATAAAGTTACATTACTCTTTACATTACTTTTGTGTTACTCAGCAACAGCCTATAGCTAAAACTTATAACGTAGGCCTACATGTGAAGACATAACACAAGTTAATAACGGTGAAAATTCTAGTTCGGAGTCAAAACTTTAAAATGGTTCTCCACTCTCCTGCAGTCAGCTGTGATTTCAGGTGTTCATGCTGCCGCCTCCACCTCATCCACCTCCTTTCATTGCATCCAGTGCCAGGAGAGCTAATCTAAAGACCTCATCACACCTCCTCTTCATCCTTTCTCCTCATCAAATCCAGATCTTCAACAAATTGCAATACCAAGTGTCTAGACCACGGGGTTCCTATATGCTCACGGCTGAATTTCCCCCTTTAGATATACAATTTTAGGATCGGGGTCTATGACTTTTAACATTTATCATATGTCGCATGTGTCAATAAATGTTCTTTAAACCAAATAATGAAGTCTTTCCTGATGGAACTACCTTTAGTGTACGTCTTGGTAGCCAGTTTGGCCAGCAGCTCGTCCTTCTCTTTCTGCAGCTGGTTTTTCTCCTGCTCCAGTTTGCTGATGGAGGCGGTGAGAGCCGACACGTTTGCGCCCTGCGTCTGCTTCTGCACCTCTGCGGTCGCCTCACCCCCGCCCTGCAGCTTGTTCTTATCTGTGGAACATATGGAATGATGGACTGCTGGTTCATACATATAGTTCATGTAATCAATTCACATTAAGGAAGGATTTTAGAAGAAAATTCACACCCAACAAGACTACGGTGCGCCACACGGATGTATTTTCCTAATTGGGGTGTTTAAGGCCAGCCATCAGGAATTATGGGTAGGTGGACAATCTTTTCTAAATATGGCCTTTATTCAACGTTCAAGAACACTGTCCAGATAAATGATTTCTACTGTACCAAAAGTGTAAAAAGTCAAAAACGATTGTAAATATATAATACCAGTAACAGTTAGTCCTTTTACTTTGTCAATGTCCTCTGAAAGCTATTGAAAAAACACACACTATTTCATTGATAAATGAGTGCATTTAAAAAAATTCTAATATTTGCTTTTATAAAAAATTATCTTGGCATTTGTAGTTTATATCAAAAGCTACTTGGAACTAGTATTAGGTTGTTTATGAGGATTACAATGACCTCTCTAATACATATTTTAAATTGCTGTGAAAACATCTCCTTCAATCAACAGCTGTATTGGTTTAAGTTTCTTGACAAAAAGCTTTATTTTTGCAAGATTGCAAGCATTGAATCCTATCTTGATGAAGTTATCTATTCTTAGCTATACTCTTTTTTACTAAATATAGATTGAAAGCATCATAGAGTATTTTAATCATATGCAACCTCCGTTAACGTCAGCTCTTTGGTCTGGTTTTTAGCGGGACTATGAAGCCGCAGGCAGCTAACACTAACTGAGTTATACTTTCCCTTAAACTTTCTACCTAATGGATGAGAAAAAATGAAGTTAAAGAGAAGATAAAATGTGTTTTCTTTATCCCCCGAGATGCGTTTTTCACCAAAAAGTCTTACATTTTAATTGTATATTCTTAGAAAATGTACTCTCAAATCGGGAAAATTATCCAAATAAAAAAGTAATCTGTGTATTTGACCTAGTATAAGTGTTTTAATGTATCTACAGCACTTGTATCACTTTGAAAATGTCCACTTCAGACTTCTTATCACTTCACCCTGAAGTCTCACTCTGGCTCAGCTGGCAGCAGTAAATCTAACGGGCTCTTTAAAGCAGCTCATCAGCCTTCTGACTATTTCAACATCACAAGCAAACACGCACACACGCTTTATTGTATGTGTAAAAACAAATCAGGGATACATTGGGCAAATTTTCCTGAAAAATCAATGTTGCAAGCCAAGGTCTAACCACTGGATCCTCTTTTATCTTTCCTGAAACTGTTCATTCTGCAATTTTTAACTCACTGCTTCTGCTTTTTTTTCATCACAAGCGTGTCACAAAATTGTATTTTGTATTATATCTTCCTGACTAGTATCCTGAAATGTTTGCTGGTGCTGTTAGATTGTCAACAGTTATCAAACAACTGTGTTGACAGTTCATGTGGTAGAAGTATAGGAGTATACCCTCAACATTATTACATTAAATAAATATGACGTTAATACAAAGGAACTATAATGCTGTTTCCTTGGTAAAAGGAATGCAGAAAAAGTGAAATATAATTTTGTTTTACTCATAGCTCTCAAATTAGTAAACAAACGTATTCTTGCTTACTAGATTAGCATGAATACTTACTAGTGTATAGAAATATGTGTAAATGATCATAGTTGAGAGATATAAAACACAACATAACATAAATATGAAACAAATATTTGTAGGCTTTGAACAGAAAAGGGATCACAAAACGATGTATGTTCTTTTCCTAACCAGCATTAAGATGGCATTTGTTACCACATAAAAACGTTTGCCTAAAGTTTTCAAACGTGCATCACTTTTTTTCTGTGTTCAATTAGCACTTGGATATCTTTAATGGCACATTACAGCTTCTAAATGTTGAAGTCTCCTCTGTGTTCAGCAAAAATCTCCACAGGGTTTCTTTCTAATGTATTGTTTTAACTTTAATACACACAGCAATAACATAAATAGTGTGTGTGTGTGTACTCACAGTGTGCCGTGACGGCTATGATGGAGATGAGTAGGACGGCACACAGCGTGGCCAGGCACATGCTGGCGAGGCGGTAGGGCACGGGGCCGCTCGGCCTGGTGAGTATTCTGACTGGGGACACTGGGTGAGCTGGGAAAACACATTGGGAAAAAAGAAAACAATAACTTTCCATTCATGTTAAGGATAGGGAGTTAAAGAGGTCACACTTTTACATTGCAGTAAATGGAGAGGAGGCAAGCCCTCCTTTCCCTGTTTCATAAATGATTTCAAGTCCTTTTTTCTGTCCCTTAGAAAAATACAATCTTGTAACCTGTCTATAAAGATTTACAATGATATTTCCAAATGGTTATTATTTTAAAGGTGACCTATCGTGCAAAATGCACTTTTGTACGTCTTTTATACATGAATATGTGTCCCCGGTGTTCCAGGGAACTCACGTGTCAGAAAACACAACCCTCTCTATTTTCCTCCATACCCAAATCTCTTAAAAAGGGGCTGCAATGGATCTGATACAGACTGATCCAGATTTGAACACTTCTATGACGTCACAGAAGTGGCGCTACGGCTATTGGGCCAACTCCACCAATCAGGAGGAGACAGCTACGGACATTGCCGTTCGAAAGCGCTGGAGACGCTGTAGTACATATGCCAGGCCTGTAGATGGTGCTGTTCTCACAGGATCAGCCCATGAAAAGACAGTGTGANGCGCGCGCCCCGCGGGGGGCCACCCCACCAAAAACCGCCCCCCTCTCAGGCTATATGGTCTCATCGTTTAGCGCCGCGCAGAGAAATGCTCGGCCCTTGTAAATGACAACCTATGTTTGCCTCCCTTGGTCCGTACCTCCTCCCCACCACGTCTCTGCACCCTGTTCACTCACACCGCCGCCCCGACCAAACCTCCTCAATCTTTACTGAGGTCAAGCAAAATGACGCAAAATTGTTAACGCGATTTCTCCACACGCCCCGCGCCTCCCCCGGGACGTCGCAGACCAACGAGCGTTTGTTAGCGTGTTTCGAAAGTCTGTGCGGGCCTTCAAGAAGTTGGGCGTAAACTAAGTACGGCCCTCACCATCTGCCGCCATCGTTTGCGTGAGTGTTCGCCAGGCCACTTGTGTGGAATATGAGGAAATGAACTGCGGTCTGGCTCTCCCAGCTTGCACGCGGTTTGATTGGCTGCGCTTGCACTGGCGGGATTTGCATAAACGGGATTTGATTGGCTGATGCCAAGCATCGAGCCTCAAAAGTTGAACATTGTTCAACTTTTGATGCCGATAGATGCTCGTGATGCTTGCAAAGCCATGCCATGCTCCCCACAATGCAGTGCGGCGAAGATTAAAAATCTTCTACGTCACCTCATTCAAGTGAATGGGCGAAGCGTTGAAAGCATTTTTCGATGCCTGTAGTGTAGACGGGCCGTTAGACTCAATCAGTCTTTAGATGTTTTCTCACATAAACTCAAGAGTAGGGGTATCAAACAGACCCGTAAGAGGGGGGGGGGAGTTTATGCTGAGTATCAGAAGAATTCAGATGCAGCTAAATGCTGCTGTGATTAAGACGATTATTTCTGAAACAGTATGGAGCTCAAATGCTTTTTCTCTCTCAGGTTTACCACAAGGTGAGTTCCTTTTTTTACTTCCTGCTTCTTCACACACATGCTCTGCAGTACAGGTTAGCTCTGAGTGTTAGCGAGGCATGCTAATGTAAACACAGACCATATTACGTCCTAAACACGTCTCATTGTTTCTGACATTTCAGATAGTACGTCATATCGGACGCAAATCTGGATCAGCTCCGTTTTTAGAGATGTGGGTACGGAGGAAAAGAGAGAGGGTTTTATTCCCCGACACACCGGGGACACATTGATGTATAAAAGACATCACAAAGTGCATTTTGCGATAGGAGACGTTTAAAGTAAGTGATTTTGTTTTTCATTAACTTGGAGTAATCACAGTGAGCAGGTCTTCCCTCCCTTGATATGTCCGGGCGTTAGCATCATAAAATAAACGGACCTTTACAACTTTTAATAAAAAGATATGAATAATAAATGTTGCTCCTCACCTGCAGGCGGACTCTGTTGACGTACGTTGACCCCATGACCCCGATCAGCGCTCCGAGCACCGACCCGATGATGGACCAGTTCTTGGTTCTCTCCGCTCTCGTTCTCTCCTTCTCGTGACTCGCCCGAACGCCCGCAGAGAACAAGGAGAACTTTTCCCGCTCCGACCCCTCTGCGTTCTCGTACGCCGTGCGGAGACGGCGCTCCTCCTATCGGGGAGAAGGGCACATTATTAACAAGCTCATGTTCAAGGACATTATTTATATACGTGTCCCTGGTGTGGACTCACAAAGTGTCAGAAAACAAAACCCTCTCTCTTTTGCTCCGTACCCACATCTCTAAAAACGGGGGAACGACGGAGCTGATCCAGAGTCAGCACGTTCAGCTCACCTGCAGCAGTCTGTGCTCCTGCGTGGCGAGCTCCAGGTAGTGAGCCTCTTCTCTGGAGACCCGGTCCAGGCGGTCTCGGACCTCTTTCAGACGGACCTGCAGAACCTCCAGGCTGCCGTGAGCCTCGCGCACCATCCCTCTGGACACCATGAACGCTGACTCCGCCTGGAACAAACACACGTGAGATTCAGAGACAGCTTCATCCGGCAGGCAATAAGACAAAAACAACTTCATAACATTCATCTGCTACTTAGTAATATCTATTATCTAATATATCATTCCAATAACTTGTAGATAGACTCGTACTGCACTATTCCACTTTTTTAAAAACTATTTTTCTTTTTGGATTACTTTTAATATAATATATTTAAATATTGTCTGCTTATCTGTATTATTGTGTTGCACTGTTGGAGAACCCTGTGACCTAAGATTTTCAACGACATAATTACTCTGTAGCTCTGTTAGTTTCACAATAAAGAACCTTGAACCTTGAACGTCGTCGTACACTCAGGACCTTTCTCAGTGTATCTGTAGGAGCTGTATTGTTCCTATGTCTAAATGCAGCATTAGTTTTATGTTGAGCGTTTGAACACTGCACGTCTGAAATGCAACCTCAATATGAAGGGATGCAGCGTGACAGCCAGAGTTCCCGTTAGCCGGTAATTACCGGACTATGACCGGTAAAATATGCTGAAGACCGGCAAATCTAAATCTCTCCGATCAATTTGTTTTAAAGCTCAATAAATAACAAAGAAGACCTTTGACCGGCACTTTTCTAATTTTGTCGGGAAGATTTCAACTTTAACGGACATTTTGACCGGCAAAAAAATATTCTAACGGGAACTCTGGTGACAGCATAGTTTGGAAACAAAACGAAGTGACTCAGAAGCCACAGCACCGGAGTCAGATCAGGGATTATTTGGATAAAACAGACTAAAGCACCACGATGCCATCATTTGTCCATAATAACTGTGAGAGACATTTGAATGAAGCTCATCTATTTATGTTGAGCTTTTCACAATTGTGTGTCGCAGTCCTATTACTCAGGGCTGGAGGTATTTCAGGTGTGTGTTTTCACCTGATTGAGAGCGTCTGACCCCAGAAGGTCATATGGTTTTTGCTTTAGCTCAAGTGTGAGTAACGCAATGTCTGTATGACCAGGCAGTGAGTTAACGTGTATTCATTCTGCAGCTGATAACGAGCCTACCCATTCATCGCTGAAAATAACAACCGCCAGATCCTCACCGGAGTTAAAACACCACAGCAGCTTTAGTTTGAGGCTAAAGCTCCTCCCTGTTTCACGTCTAAAGGCCCGGACACACCAGGCCGAAATCGTCCGTCGGTGTTAGTCGGACGACGAAGCGTGCCCTGTCGCCCAAACTCAGTTTGGTGTGTCCCGCACCGTCGGCCGTGACACGCCTTATTTGGCCTTTCATGGCCGACGCACGGCCGATTCAACATGTTGAATCGGCCGTGCGTCGGGTCGGGCAGTCGGGCCAAATAAATCACTGATTGGCTGTTCAGCTAGCGAATCAGTGCATGAGAAGCGAAACGGAAGTGAGGGACGTAAACAAACGCTTTAAGAAGGCACGAAGAATGTCCTCCACAAGCACCACTCCAATGGCTGATAGCTCCAGTACCGCACGAGACATGTTTTCGATGGACGAGAGTGAAAATGGAACACGCTATTTGTTGTTTGTATATATCACGCAGTCTGTTCTTCTTCTCTCTGTGTATCACTCAGTCTGTCTTCCGGTTATTGTCTCTTTTGAATGATGAGACGCGTACACATCTCACCCGTTATTGACGAGCGAATTGGTCGTCCACCGCCCGTCAC